TACAGGATTTGCAGCTGGACTCTGGCCGGTCGACCGGCTTGGTCACGGCGGTCGACCGTTTAGTGCACAGGCCCAGACTATGTCTCGGGACTAGGGGTGAGCACGGTTCGGTTCAAACCGAAAAAACCGACCGAACCGACCCGAACCGACCCGAAAAAAGCGGTTTTATGAGTAAGGTGGTTCGGGTCGGGTTGACAATTTTTCAAACCGACCCGACCCGAACCAACCGAATATATTCCCTTGCCTCAAACCCTACCCGTTTACCCAAAGACAAAGCAAGTCCGTTACTAAAAAATTACAACATCAGAGTCTAGTATTTAATCCAAATGGACAAGTTACTTCACTTAAAAACAGTATACATACATGAGCAAGAATAATAAATTGAAGTGAAGTTAAAAAATAAATACATGCTGGCATAGGGTAATAAGAATATATAAAAGATAAATTGAAGTGAAGTTATACTTGATAAAGTTAGAACCGAACAAACCGAACCGAACCGCACCGAACCGATTTGCAACGGTTCGGTTCGGTTTTGAATTATAAGTGGTTCGGTTCGGTTGTTCAAATTTTGGTAAAAACCGACCCGAACCGAACCGTGCTCACCCCTAGTTATAAGTGATCACATTATAAGTGGAGTCGAGGCGCGAATGAGGTTTGAACCATTTATGAAAGTGGAGTCGGAGTGCGAGCAACGTCAGAAAACATGGAGTTGAGGTGCTAGCCTGTCAGATTCACTTGTGATTATTTAAAGATGATTTTATTAGATACATGAAGAAGCTTTTTTCTCCATTGACATCTCAAGCTGTTTTTTTTGAAATCATATAGAGAATCAAATTTTTTTTCTTGGCAACCTAAGAAGTGATTTGATGTAACCATGTATAATTAATTTCCAATTGTGTTTTCATTTCCGAACTACCCTTAATTAATAAATAGAAGCTTGTCCATTTGATTAAGATCTTGATCAACTAAGTTAATCTAACAGTTAGAAAGTTTGGTGTATTGACACCTCAATACACTTAAGTTTACATGAGTAACACGTATATATGCAAATTTAAACACCAAAGCTAGATATTTGCTAATATGTCCCCAAATTATTTCATTTCGTATAAAAAAATATCCAACAGATGAAGTTCCCCACGTTAAAAAATTTAAAATTTTAAGATGAAATTATCGATCATTAATTTTACAAAGGAGATTGCGAGCGATCCTTCCCGTTGTAGCCAATGAAATAAAGAAGTGTGGTCGGAGGAGGGTTTAGTCAAATAGGAAGTTTGACATCGACCAGGGGTCCTATATCAAGCTTAAGAGAGGGGGGACATGAATTCTCCTGAAGTAGGAAATTTACTTATGAATGTACAAGATATTTATAGAACTAACACTATAGCTTGTTAGAACTAACATTGTAGCGTGTTAGAACTAACACTATAGCCGCGTGTTAGAACTAACTTGTTAGAACTAACACTGTAGCCGCGTGTTAGAACTAACACTGTAGCGTTTAAGTCTCCTGATACTTCTCCCATTCCTTTGTAGGTGGTTTCATTTATGAAAGAAATTGGTTTTGATGGCAGAACCATAGGGAGAATATTATGTCGCTGTCCAGAGATATTTTCTGCTAATGTCGACAATACTCTCAGGAGGAAAATACAATTCCTCACAGATTTTGGCATCTTGAGAGGTCAGCTTCCTCATGTTATTCGAAAGTATCCCGAGCTTCTTCTGTTAGACATCCATCAAACTTTACGTCCAAGGTATAAAAAGTGTCATGCTTATGAAGTTCTCTAACGTTTCTGTAATAAACATCATTTATGTTATTTTCCTTGAAGTTTTAGTTTCAAATGTGGAATTAGTCATATTACTTTACTCCATGCACGACTCTTTCCTGCTTATTCTGCATATGAGGCCAAGTTTTTTGTGGAAAGATCGGATCATATACCTTCTTGTGCCCAAATGCAGAACATGGTGCTCCCAATACAGGATTTTTGGTAAGATCGTTAGTGCACCAAGTAGACTTACTTCATTCTTTAATAAATTTATGGGGTTAAACTTGTAATTAGGTTTGTATGCCCGAAAATTCCATTAGGTCAATTACCATCAATTATTTCCCCCCAAAACCCCAGATCAATTATTATTTTCTGTAAAAAATCCAAATTAGTGCGTGTTAGTTCTAATCTGCACAGTGTTGGTTCTATTCCGTAGAGTGTTAGTTCTAATCTGCACAGTGTTAGTTCTATTCTATACCATGTTAGTTCTAATTTATACCACGTTAGTTCTATTTTATACCGTGTTAGTTCTAATTAATAACAAGTTAGTTCTATTTTATACCACGTTAGTTCTAATTTTAACCATGTTAGTTCTAATTTATACAACGTTAGTTCTATTTTATACTGTGTTAGTTCTAATTAATAACAAGTTAGTTCTATTTTATACCACGTTAGTTCTAATTTTAACCATATTAGTTATAATTTATAACAAGTTAGTTCTAATTTATAATAAATTAGTTCTAATTTATACCACGTTAGTTCTAATTTATACCAAGTTAGTTCTAATTTATACAATGTTAGTTCTATTTTATACCAAGTTAGTTCTATTTTATACTCCATGACAAAATACAAGCAAAGATAAGAATACCAACATCAAATTTAGACTGCCTGATACTTTTGTACAAACCAATTTAGACTGCCTGATACTTAGTCTTATGTGTACAAACCAATTTAGACTGTCTGATACTTTTGTAGGTATATAATGCAAAGACTGAAGGGAGTTTTTGTAACATTTCAAGGACCAATAAAAAATTCTCAATTTATCATAAAACACATGACGTCAAGCGGCATTAAGTCAAATTTTGATACACGAAACTTTTTGCAGGTATGCATCTATAAGAAATCCAAATTATTTTGCCGGCGTAGTAAAGGGCGAGACGGGGAGCGACGGTGAGCTACCGCGACGAGGTCGGGCGGAGGAGAGGAGGGGAGGCCGCGGCGGCGAACTCGGGGGAGGCTTGGGAGCCTGGGCGGAGGTGGCGACAGCGAGGAGGGCGAGGGCCAGAGCGACGAGCTTTAGAAAACCCTTGTTTTTAAAGAGAGAGGGGAGAGAGAGAGAGGGAACTGTGTTTGAAGGATTGAGGAGAGGGGATAAGGTTATTTTGGGGATTTTAGCTTAGTTGGCATGTAATAATTGTTAAAAAGGGGGTGCAGCACAAAATGTCACACTTCAAGGGGCTGAATCACATGGGGAAAACTAGGAGAGGCTGCAGCATATGAAGTTTCTGTTTTTGGGGTCTGGACACATTTTTCCCAAAAGATTTATTCGTTTATCCAAAACTTTTCCGACAACGTCTTTTTCGCTCCCCGACACGTTTCCGATCCCAACGCCGCTACTATTCCTTCGCGGAGAAGCAAAATAAAAGGAAAATACCATTTGGCTCGCGCGAGTTGCAACTCGCGTGAGACAAAACAGGGGGGTGGGACCCACAGCTGTGGGTCCCACCCCCCTGTTTTGTCTCACGCGAGTTGCAACTCGCGCGAGCCAAATAGCAGGGCTCAAAATAAAAATCCTCGCTCTCACCCCCCGGGACTTCACTCACTCACCAGGCGGTGACCGCACCCCACCCCAGGACAAAACCTTCCCCATTTCTCCCACGTTCTTTTCTCTCTTCGCTCAGCAGTTTTCATTGCCACCTTCTCTTTTGCATGCATTTCTCTCTCTAACCCCTCCCTTTCTCTCTCTAGAACCCTAGCCCTAGTTTTGATCGCAATGGGAGTCTCCTTCAAGATCGCCAAGGTCGGATCGCGTTACCGCCCTAAGACCCCGCCTGATCCCGTCACCCCCAACGGC